AGAGATGGATGGCTTGATGTGCCTGGAGCATGAGATCGAACGCGTGTGTATTGCAGGGCACTCTTAATTACTGCGCTACACGCGCCAAATACGAGCGTATCAAAAACTTATTCGTCTAGCTTTCTCGCGCCTTCGAGTTCTTCAAAGCCGTGCTGATATCAGTCGATTTTTCACAAGCCAAGTCCGTCGTGTTTCACTGGTGATAATGACTGTTGCGGGATGCGCTTCCCCTGAGAAAAATGGATTATATCTGACAGAAATAAATCAACTCCAGTCGTACATAAAAAGCATTCCTGGATGAGTTTACTTCACTAGAGCGCTGGTCTCCGTCCAGATTTGACTCAATGCAATGACGAAGACCAGCATAGCGAGGATAACCGGCTGTGGACAATCGACTCTGATCAACGCTGCTCTGAAAAAGGCGAGGGAGGGGAAGCGGAAGAGTAATGTTTTGTAATAAACTTGCCCTAGTCCAATCGTCTAAGAAAATATCGAATTATATACGCTTGAACTACACTGACGTCGACCGAATTGAACATCGTTTCTGATTATCTGGTCATCAAAAATGAACAGACGGAGTATTTTATTCTCCTCTTCATTAAAGAATTTGAAGGAGGAGTATCATAATGTATCTGCCTTTCCTATGTTTCAATCACTTTAGTAACAAGGTGGTTGATGTTTCGCTGTCTTGTTCCACTATACAAAATGTGCTCCTCTTTGAATTACAATAAAGTTCCTGTGCTTTATCACTTGAAACTAGTTTTACTGGTTAACAATTGAATCACATAGGTTAGATGTTCACCGACGATGAATTCAACTTTATCGGGACTACTCACCAAAAGTGATGAAGACGACGGAAGAGTCTAAGAGCACTTAGTAGGATGGGCCGTATCTGTTTTGGAGAGGATTCTGAGGAACGGGTTTAGAGGATGACGATGAAGTTCACGGCGGTGAGGTAGTATGTTGACAGTGGCTGTGATGAGTGGCCACACAATGTGGTCCTCTATAATTGCAAGCTCTTTGGGAACAAGAGACCAGATGCTGCCAATGATGAAGACCAGGGAATGCCTTAGCCATCTAGTAATGTCTGGTTATTCCACTATTCCAGAGGAAGTCAGCTCGACCAGCACTCAACGGTATTTAGAAAGAATACCGAAAAATCCTTAAGGAGCAGCCGAATCCACACGAAAATTTAAAGACCTTTAAAGGAGCACTAGGTTTCCCACAGTATGTGGTGTTGGGTTATGTGGAACGATTTTATTTGTTTTAACCGACGCATAATCAGTTTGCTGTGACGGTTTCCATCGATTTCCGAATTCGATTCGTTTCCTAGTATCCATTATCCACCGCGGCTGAATAATACGGTGTTTCATAGCCCCTACGACTTTAATAACACTCTAGTTGTCATGGACAACTTCTGTTTTGATGCACAGAACGAGTGCATTTTTACAAATTATTTGTGGCAAACACTTGGAACCTGGGCGTAATGGATGTCGAAAGGTAGGGTCAATGGAGGGTCAGTTGTGAGAACCATCAAATGCAGAAGAGCTGAGAAAACTAGTCGATAGTAGTTAAATTGCAAAGTCGAAGAATTACTGGAGTAGCAGAGCGGCTTGTAAAAAAACCAATTGGAGCCGATGTCACGCCAAGGTACCGATCTGACACGCTCATCACCATTCCGTAGGAAATGCAAGCTATAATAGGCCATGCACGTTCTACGAGAATTCGGAACGCACGTCGGAGGTGTGAGCATAGATTTCTTGTGGTTCTGCGACTAGGCTAGCACAAATGTCTTGTCTAGTTCCACTTCAAGGAGGGATGGATTCAAGCTCGAAGCGTATTCCAGCGCTTTTCCGACTTACATCGTGGTTTTGGAATTGTTATTCAAGAAGCGTATGGATTCAACTGCAACTTGAATATTTCATCTTCTTCATGAGTATCTTTGAATACTGGTCGAACTGGTTCTCCCTAGAATCCTTGGACAGCTCTGCTAGGGCGTTCGTAGTCTCTCAACGCAGGTGTCTGCCTATCTTTGGGAACTAGAGACGACTCCTGCATGCAAGTCTGGCACCATTTCGTCGTGCACTAGAAAGGGACGGCTTGGTTGACCTCAGCGGATTTGAGAAACCAGCAGTGTATTAGACAACGCGTCGAAGCATTAAATCTAGATGCTAACAATTCTGCTCTTCAACAAAACTTCGTTTAAAAGTTCGAAAGTTCGAAATCTTTGACATATTACCGCCACGATGGGATGGTGAAGTACTGAGGGGAACGTCCGTTGACGTGTGTAGAAGGAGAGATGTGAGCAGGGTGTGCCATCGTCATTTGTGAAATTCACATCTCAGCGCTTATTTCCACATTCCTGATCCAGTAAACAATGTACTCGAAAGCTTCTGTTTTACAACTTATTCATGCAATTTACAAGTTTGAACTTTTACACGGAACATTCACAACTTTTACAAAAAATTTGCATGTTTACCATCTGCAACTTTTCACAGTCTGCAGCCGTTGCATATACTACTGAAATATTCTGTTTTATAAACTCGACATAAAACTGTTATTAGTCACAATCTTAACCCTTTTATTTACTGCCTTTTCTTCTTAATGGCAGGGTATGTTGCGAAATATAACTCGTATGAAATGCTGAGATATTTGCAAAACTCCGGTCCATAGGTGTATGCAGTGGGTAACGAACACGCGCTGTTGTCCTTACCGGGGAGCAGCGCACTTCACCACTACACCATCCGGGTCAAGGGTAAAAGCGCGTTCATTCCCCACCGCAGACACCTGCGGTCCGCAGTTCTGCAAATATCTCAGCATCATTGACTGTTATTAGCATTTTCTTGGTTGATTGCGCTAATACGAGGCTGGCAAGAAGTTTTATTAGACTGGCGTTTCAACTTCTTGTGTTCTTCAAAACCGCGCGAATTAAACTTTTCCCCATCCTCGTGTTAGCTTAACAATCCAAGAAACTGTTCAGGAATGAAAAATCCACGAAAATATTGATTGTTTATGCAGCCATTAAATGAAAATTATTTTCTAGAAATGCTGATGGTAGCATAAATGAGTGGGTTCAGCTGCTTTGATATGTCATCTTCTCTCCTGATTGACAGACATACTATTGATCAAGCATAACTTTTCTTGCAGTCTTGAGATAACCTTTCTCAAGAATTCCTGCCGCTTCACCAGAAACCGAATAATAGGGAAGATGGAACTCGAATTCTTCGAGGACAAAGATGATTCTTGTAACGGTAACGATTCCGAAGAATCCAACGACGGAGCGCTTGAAGACGATGAAGCAAGTTGAAGCCCTCAGTTGTTCTCCTTCTACGACACCACTCTAACGAAATTATTCTCTAGCGCTCAGCATTTTGCCCTCAGTGGATTAGAGTTGTATGGTTGAAAAAGTCCGAACTTATTGTTGGAATGAACGAGGACTAATCCTCAATTTTCGTTGCTTGTGATTGATAAAAACGTGTTTCCTTATTCACCACCACTCAGGTCAATCTGTGACTCAGAACACACTTCCACAAAAGGGATTATTTCATGTTTTTTCCGCAAAATCCTGAGTCACATGGCAAACTTCTCTGACAACGGCTTGTGTTCCATCATCATCACACCTCTGGATGTTGACTTATACTCCTTCTTTTTTCTGCTTATATAAAATTTGTTCCTAGTTTTCTAGGAACCAAAAAATAGTGGCCAATAAAATGGTGATTCATACTGGTTAATAATAGAAGCGGTAACATTCCATAGGATAATTGTCATGTCTCTTAACAATAGCAATATTATAATAGACGCTGCGAGAAGGCTGTTAGTCTGTTTATATCTTTAGACGAAAATTACTCCTGTTCACATTTAAACAGGGAGGAGGTGAAATGTCTGCAGAGAATTCATTTGTTGTTGGAGTGTCGTCCAAAATTCTATTGATAAGGCGTCATTCTCGCTAATATCAGCTGTTAAACTCACAGAGCTGACGTGAAATCGTTCTCGTGAATGTCGTATCGTGCTGAATTTCCGACAGAGCATCGGCTTCACGGAGCCCTTCTCGTGTCAATTTCGCTAATTTCCATTTTGGAGTGTTTGCATTTCAACAGCGCCGTTTGTCTAACTGTCTCTGCATGAATAAATAAGTACATGAGCAAGGTAGGGTGTGCAGATGTGGCGTAGTTTTGTAGGGGAACGATGCCAGCTTTCCACTATCATTCATGCCATCGTCTACCCACGCATTCATCCAACACTGACTGTTTACAATTCCGACCCCGATGACGTCTTTGCGCCCGTTTTGTCTCCTCCCCACCCCACAACATGGAAGTTCAATCATCACTCTATCTGTTATTCTGTGAACTTAATCTCATTCCATCTCATCTTAATCGATCACTCTTCGTATTCAGATATGCTTCTAACAAAATGGTTAACGCTCTTGACATAACTCATTTTCTGATCGCACAGGTGTCGGCTTGAAAAGCGTTGAAAACTATCTAGACTATATGAAAAGTATTGACAATACTATCGAGTTTTTTTGCTTGAATGCAACGTGACCAAAACGTCCCATCGGCCCTTCGGATGGTTAAGTCCCATTAGTGGCATAATCGGCGTTTGAAACGATTTCAACTTACAGTCCATTTGAGTTTCCTTCTCCTTAATATTCTCATTGTTTCGTTATGAAAATTCTGAAAAGTAACTCTACACTAACTCTAGTAACTCTAATGTTTCCTTAAAACAGGCAGAAATCTGCTAATCTACAGGGTTTTGTTGAAATGTTTCCTCTTTTCCTTTTTCCAAAACTTGTACCGTGTCCAGTAGAGTTCCTATAAAGTTCAAGAGCTTGAAGCCACATTTGGCCAAACGACGTATTCTATTTTCGTAGTTGTGATTCGTTCTTCATTTATAATCATTTGATCTACAACTGTCAGTTGTTTTCAAAGTGTTTGCTTGATTTGTGGGCTGTTGAAAGTCTAGTTCAAAACAATCCAAATCCATGGGAACTGTTTTAGAAAATGATTGGGATGGTGAATGTACCATGCGATACTCCTATAGACTTCTACGCCGGTGCTCCGCATCATAGAGAACGTCAAAGTGCCTGCTTAGACATCGACAACGGTAAATAACTATTTTAGCTCCTTTACTTTTATATGTCCAACAAAATCTAAACTAGTGGATTAAGCCATCTCTTCACCCTCTATCTACCTACTTCGAATCATCTTCGTACACTGAAATATGAAGATCTGCTCAAATATTCAAACCCAGACCTTAAAGCTTCCAACGGTTTAGCGCGTCATCTTAGCTGGGAGGTGTTCCCAGGTGTCTAGCAGCAATGTATAGCGGGAGGTTTATCCCTCCAGCAGGTTCTCCCAAGCTGAGATGGAGTCCGACGCTTCCATTCCGAAGCCTAGTTGAGAGTTAACCGTCACCAGGAATCACCAGTGTACTGGTATCAACCTAGTCACTTGGTGGCAAATCGCCATTTGTTCCATAAGGGTGGCGACGAGTTGAGAAATGGCTGCGCTAGGCCCACCTGGTGACTCCAAGAAACCACAGTGGCTAAGCCAACAAATCTTTCGTGAATGGAAATTGTGCTGGGGTCCGCACCATTAGTGAGGACGATCTAAGTAAGTATCCGAGACCTCAAACAATAATGCCGTTTGTTCGAATATTATTCGAAAATCATCCTCCTAGCAAGCTTTGTTGTAAGAATTTATCTCGAATTTGCTAAACAACATCAAGAGCTCATCAAGGAAGCCACGTCTGCATAGCTAGAAGCATTCAAATTCTAGAATAACAAGAAATTATCATCGTATCCTCATTATTTTCTCCTTGTGAACAGCTTATTATCACTTTGGAAGTGTAAAAAGTAAGTGTTGAGTCATTGTCATCGTTGAATTAAGTTCTGGCCACTTGAATACCTCCATCGATGGTTAGGCAACAATGAAAGCAATGGTATTAATCTGAGACTTTTCCGCCAAACTAGTACTCCACTAGATCGGAAACAACATTTCAGTGATATTGTCCTAAGACAGTCGTACTATGGCGTTCACATGTGTTCACCACACAAACACACCGTCCCATGTGAATAGGAGGAAATTAACAGCATAAAATCTGGATTTCTATCAAGGCTGCAGCGACTCCGATATGGCTTTGCTACTAACTGAACTTCCGTATATAGTCCTGCTAGTAGGTCACTGTAGCGCTGGTTCGACCGTGATGTAGTTCATGATATCTCGATCACAGTTAAAGTGTAAAGCGAATGCTTCTTAGTAGATCGAACCGGAAGATAATGGTAAAGCTGTGTCGTTCAAAAAGTTATGTACGACACGGCTACAACAGTTTGACATCAGAGGAGGGAAATTCTCAGAAATGCTCAGATTTCAGTACCAGAAACAATGACAAAACGAAGACCATCGTTTCGACCATTGTTCATAAGCACTCGAGATAAAATCGAATACGCAATGGATGGACGTAAAATGAGCAACGGCGTACTCATAGAGGTAAATCCTTCAAGGTTATCCTATTCGCCCTCAAATGCTCGAGAGACAATAGCCAATAGTCTTTCTCAAATACTCATAATAGTCGAGAATAGTAGTGTAGATGAGTGTAGAATATGAATTTTGTGTCCAGAATCACACTGGAACGATGGTTAGAAAACCAAAGAACATTAGATGAAACACGATTGGTGCAGTGATGTCTAGTATAGATAGAAGAATAAATTATTGCCATAGTGTTCACTACCCGTCCATTATACTGCTTGTTTTTCTGAACCACGAGTCTCGAATGCTTCCCAGTTCTTCTTCGTTTGTTTTCAAAGACACGAGGCACTGAAGCACTTCCCGAATGTAAAATGCCGTGATCACCCGATGTTTGGTCGTAACGACCTTCTCAGAATGGCTACGAAATCAGTGCAAACTTTTTATGAGCATGTCGTTGTGCACCTTCATTGTGATGTTTGGATATTGCTTAAGATGAATACGGCTGTACCAGATGAGCAGAACAAGGGTCCAGACTCCACTTTGCATGGGGTGTTAAATTTTCCACAGAGACGACATTGTAAAGAAACTGGAAAGAAAAATATACTACTTAAGTAAAATGAACTTTAAACTACAAAATCTCTCGATAATTCAATATTAATTGGTAGAACAGGTGGAAACGACATCAATACTAAAACGATAAGTTTGTCTTTGAGCTGTAAAATTTCTATTAGTCATTCAGTGTTTCAACCGATTGAAGACTATGATGACGGTGATGAAGCTCTCGGCGTTGATCAATCCTTAAGGGATGCGCCATTCATTGGACTTCATTAAGCATCGTTTGGAGGTGATAGAATGCACATCTGGCCTTTACAATGACTCACGGTGGCCTACCGATGAATCGAGCCAGTGCTGCTATCCTCTCAGACAAGTCTGGTGCAAATTTGCCGGCCCCGGATGGATGGAGGGCTCGGTGGGCCATAGGCGCTGGGATCGATTCCACGTGTGTGCTGCTGTGCGCCTCCGACCACTGCGCCACATGCTCCCAACCACTATAGTGTCACTATTTTCTGAAATTATAAATCGAAAAAGAAAAGCCTTGCAAGCAAATTATAGCTTGTAGGAAAAAGAAGACTCGTGATGGGATCTGAATTCAACTTTCTAATTGGCTGTCAAATTGCTTTTACAAACTAATTGATGACGACAGTTGTTTTTCTAGCCGAAATATGGAAAGGACGAATAGAATGCTATCCAGAAGCCTCCAGAAATTCTGAACTGTAAAAAAACCAATCACTAAAAGAGCATATTGACACTCTCAAATGCCCTGATAAGAAGGTCGACTTTTTTTCCTTACTATTTTGTGCTAAGGAATCCGATGAATCTCACTTATTTATGAGTCATAAATGAATGTAATAAAATGCAATAAACGAATGTTTGAAATCATTGGAAGTTTCAAGAAGTTTCCTGCAATCTATACTGGACGAAGTTATCAGTACACATTTTTTTCAGAAATCCGAACCCAATAAACTCTGGGAGGAGCTCTTTTTGCGTTCGTTTATCAATCGCCTTGAGGAGGAAATCCAAAGCCCAGTCGAATCATACAAGACGCTCGAATCCGAATTAGCAAAACTCAACATCAAAGGTGATTATCATTCAAAATTCCACAATTATTATCAGTACTTGAAAATACGTCCTCATCGCAAACATGCAGAATTTCCGAAATTGGATAAACTAGTTTGGAAACGACTTACGCGCTTAAGAAATCTAAGGACAAATTTTATGGATAAAAAGGATAACACTATAAAGGCGTTGGTCTATCCCTGAGGAATGCGATATGCATTCGACTTCATTAATCATCGTAGAAGTAAATGAACTCATATCTTGGCTATCCAGTGACTACGGTGGCCTACCGATTTGTCGAATGAGTGCTGTTATTCTCACAGACAAGTCTGGTACTAGTTTGTCGGCCGTGGAGGGGCTTAAGAGCCAAGGATTCGTGATAGAACCAGCCATCGATCCAACGTGTATTGCGAAGTACCTCTAACCATTGCGTTACAAGAACTGCACTTGCTTTCTTATTTCCAGTTATGAAATAAAAACAAGATGATATAAGAAATATAACGAGGCTAGATCCGAATTAAAATCGCTTGGAATTTTCGATTAATCATTATGGCTGGAATAAGGCGAAGAGTGGTGGGGATTTACTTTATTTAAAGAGAACGGACCAAACCTTTCTCTGCTTACTTTGTAAGTTGGACATAACGCGACGAAAAATCACTGCTAAAATGACAGTGCTTGAAAAATTCGGTCAATGAGTGAAACCATAAGAGAAGAATTTTTACTGTTTGGTGAAACACTTTCATGAGGTGTTCATAGGACGTATGTCAACAAGTCTTACAAATATACCTCATTAGAAAAAAAAGGCGAATACAGCTCGCCAGCATATCGTCTTCTTCTCGGAGTTTACACTACAGCGCTATCTCTTTTGAGGCGTATGCAGCGCAGTGGTTAGATATGTCATGCAATGCACGATGCCTTTGGTTCGATCCTGGGCCTGGGCATACTGAAGCGACCATCCGTCCAAGGTCGAAAAATTGCTACTTGAATTGCCTGAGAGGTTGGCAATATTGCCATTATATCACAGCTCATTGTACAGGCCAGGTACACATCCAGTCATCTCTGTGATGTTTGATGAAGTCGAATTCAGGGTACATCCTTCCAGGCATGACGCACTAACGTATACTTTTCCTTCCATGCTTACTAAATATTTTCTAATATCTGATTTTTTCAAAGCGTAGCAATTTGGGAAAATTTTCCACATCGTTGTTAATGGACTAGTCTTTTGAAAGTGTTTGACCCTAAATTTGAAGCAATTAGGAATAGGAGAATATTTTTTAAAACCCTTTGACAGTATTCGAATGCTTTTATCTATAGTGTTTAACGAAAACTATCCAAACGACTTATGAAACGTTAAACCACTTTCAGACAAATCTCTATACCGGTCCACATACTCGTTAGTCTCACACAATCGAGTCGAAGACACAGAGTTTGATGAACTTGAAGAACACCTGAAAGAACGGTGAGTGAATTTGATTCCATGTGAGATCGAGATTCATGCTTACTCAAGTATGGCTTTGGTAATACTGCTTTCAGTTCTTTGTTAGTCATAGACAGAAGGAAAAAATAGGAAAGATATATTCGCTTCATCAAAGTATCGTATAAGGAGGTGTTATGGAGGATATGGAGGTGCTTACCTGAGTGGATGGCAGTCTAGTTGACCATTCTAGGCTCGGAGAAAGGCAGAATTTTCCGAAACGACAGCTTTTTTGTGAATAAAGAGCAAAATAACAGCATCGTCTTTGCTCATCAAGAATACAGTGAATTATTCTACAAAATGTTTAACCAACATCTGCTGCCTTAATCATTTTTTTTTGATACGATATTGTCTGAAATGCAAACATAGAGATGCCATGAGCACATGAGATATTAGCAAATTTCGGAACCTAATGAAGGCTTCGAGCCTTTGATTAGCATTTTCGGGGGTTCACGTGCCATCCACCATACCAACCTAGGCCCATGCTCTGCCTTTCTCTCAGCCAGGCATTTAGTCTAACGGTGCTAATCAACAGTCACCCGTCAGTGGGAATGATCTGGAGAGCACAGATCATAATCACTAAGGGAAAAAGTGCGTAGAAAAATGGATGGCACGTTGATTAAAAGAAGCTTCAGAATACTGAGATTGCGACTTTTGCTTATATCTGAGCATTCTTATGGATATCGTAGAAAAGTTGGCGTGGCCACTAGGATCCATTAAATCAATAGCAGAATTCATGAGACAAAAATCGTCGTGGCTGAATAAGTTGCACCTTCAGCACATAAGCTTTTCTCAAATGAAAAGCGTTAGCTCGAACTGACCGATTCAATTCTTCTTTTTAGGACGGGAATTCATTCTGGCAAAAACAAAAACAATTTTGGATAGCAATGATACCATTTTCGAGGTGTTTCACTAGAGTCAATATCACGTTATCCAAATCCCTCTCAGTGCAGTGAAGTCTGGAAGGATAGATGTAGATTGGAAAAAGAAATTAAGAAGCCATATACCTACTCCTTAAAAAGTACAAAGTATACTATTTCAAGTCTGTATGAAATGATTTCAGACAGAAGAGGTCGTTCTCCGCAGACCTTCTACCGCTGCCTTTTATCAAGACCATAAGAAGAAATAAAAAAGACAAGAACAAGAAGAAGTGATCCGCAAAATTGTAAATTCTATTGAGCTTTATCCTAGCATCTCTGATTTCTTGCTTTAATAATCCGTTCTCCTTATTGGCCTTGTAGCATTGCTATTTATTATTCTATACGCTTCAATATGATCTTCCTCAATTCATTCAAAATTGTAGAACTTTGTGAAAACTGACACAAAAACCCCTTAGCAAAGATGAAGCCGATTTCAATCTGTTATCTCCATCGGGGTAACAAGTAGGTTTGGAACACTCCAGCGGAATTGGAATCATCTTTAGAAACCGTTGATTAGATCAGATCTGTCAACTAGGATTGTACGCGTAGAATGTTTTTCTACACTGTATATTTCATGTTTGTAACCATATTGTTATTTAGCCAAGTTAAGCATTGTTTAATTGAAAAACTGCGGCAAAAACGTACTGTAAAAACTGTGTCCAAATAAATACTAAGCGGAAGGTTTGTGATGGAAACAAAACGCCCATCGCTTTCTGCACTTGTTTGCAGAAGAAACATAACATAGCACAATTTGTCCGGAAAAAACAAGTCACTATCACCGGACTATCACAGCTATCAGCCATCAGCATCCTGCATAAAAAGGCATCACCGAGTGAGTATGACTCATTCGAGGAGATGGCCTGCTGAGTAAGACCTGACTCGACACGAAGGCTAATCAACCACATCGAGACGAAGAACAAGCGTGGGACATCGACTCGGATCATCGGCCCTGATGAAGACGAAAACGTCGAAACGTTTAAACAATAAACATCTTTATCAACCTCGTGTAAGCTCATTAAAGAAAGAATGCAACACAGCGCAACCTATCCTCATTATCTTACGAATGTGTCGAGCCTCCGCCCTATGACAATGTTTAGTATTAGGTCTGTTTTTTCTTTTTATATCACTTCAAACCACAGGACCTAACATTTTTCCTATTTTATTCGTTTCCGAGCATTCATTATCCACGAAGGTCTTCAGATTTTTGGGTGAGAACGGCCGCAGATTGTGGATTTTTAGTCTTCTCTTTGAGTGGCGCTGATGGTTCGTCAGGTAGATTCGGTTGGAATTTTGGGATAGTCGTGCCACGGTGTTCACACATCTTTACCAAGAAATTAACCCCCTTTAAAGCATGTTAATTATTATGCTGCCGCGGTTAAATAACAGTAAGCAAAGGATAAAGCTCTCGGCTTTGATCAATCCTGAGGGATGCGTCGTGCATTCGACTTCATGAAGCATCGTTCGGAGGTGGTTTAATGCATATTTGGCCTTTACAATGACTCATGGTGGCCTACCGATGTATCGAGTCAGTGCTGCTGTCCATCCAGACAAGTCTGGCACCAATTTTCCGACCCCGGAGGAATGGAAGGCTTGGTGGGCCATGGGCGAGGGGGTCGATTCCACGTGTGTGTTGCAGGGCACGTCCAACCACTACATCACACGCGCCCTTGATGTTAGGCTTGAAAATTAACCTTCTTTGTTGATCGGCTGAACGGCAACTCTAACACTGCACTGCCCGTACCCCATAAGCTTAGCATCTCTAAAAAATCCGCGCATTAATTGGTAGTCATACATTCTCGTTGTGTTCCTTCTGAAAACTCTGTTTTAATGAAAGTACTGACCTCGGAGTATCTAGTATCACGCAAGTGAGACAGGGGGTCCGAAGTTCCGATCTACGTCGAGGATCAAAAATCGCCGTGAACACCAAAAGCCACTCTGTGTGCCAAATCGTCGAGGACAAGACGGGCGGACAATGTGTCTGATCAACAACCGATGGGTAACAGCCGTAAGTGAACGGATTCCTCGAGGTATCAAGGTACTACGGGAAGATCACCGATACGATAGTCAGAGTTCTTCACGAACACTCTAGAAGAAAGATATGATGCTCAAAAAGTCCCTAGAGCTAGCAGAACCCACTGCGCCATCCTCGGACATGACGGTGGGAAATGGAAGGTGTGCCGCTGCCCGCTCGAATCACTTGACGATCAACAGGAATAGAGGTGATACCGATGATAGTGAACATCATTCAAAGGGAGTTCAATCCCAACTAAACTCGTAGCAATGCATAACTTTTATCTGCTAACTATTATTTTTTTTCCCGGCAAGGTAACACCTGTTGTACTTTTGATCGTTGAGTGACTACAGTGAGCGCCTGAAAATCCGCCATTTTTTCCTGTCGCGAGTAAGAGTAACCCAGTGGGGTCCGCTTGCTTTAGCGACTCGTTCAGCACCATACTCTTCTTCTAAGGTTTTCGTGAAGAACTCTGACTATCGTATCGGTGGTCTTCAAGCACTATGTTTAATATACCGAGGAATCTAGTTACTAACGGCTCATATCTATCGGTTGACGTTCATACACATTACGTGTCCGGCACAGCTCATCTTCAACAGTTTGGCGTACAGAACGGCATCCTTGGCTTTTGATCGTTGATGCAGGACGGAGCTTCGGATACCTTTCCTTACTTGCGTGAAACGGGATACCCCTAGCATCGTCCTTTCGACTGTGCGTTCAATAACGCTGAGTGGTCTTTCATCCTGCTTACTCATTGACCAGGTTTCTGTCGCATACGTTAGGGCGGGAAGTACCGTCCAGTCGAAAGGTAGGCACGAAGTCGGGTGTTCTTTGTCCTCTTCACTACATCATCGATGTTCTTAAAAGCTCCCCAAGCCACTCGTTTCTTTCTGCTCAACTCAGGAGCTAGGTCGCTCATCATATTGATTTCCCAACCTAGATAGACATAACTGGAGCATTCGGAGATATTCGTTCCGTTGAGCATGAATGGGGCATACGAAAACAATCCGTTTTTTCCACAGGCTTTATCAAAGTCGGCAAGCATACTTTCCGCTTGGCTAATGTTTGCTGTTGTAACGACAATGTTATCAGCAAAGCGAGGATGGTGTGACTACCTACCATCGATTTTCACTCCCGTATTATCCAATTTCAATGCTCGTATGACGTTTTGGAGGGTGGCGGTAAATAATTTTGGCGAAATGGTGTAATCAGTATTGAAATTGAACAAATGGATACTTTGGAGAATCTGAACCATTAAACTAAGACGGAAGCACGGTGCTTAGCTGTCCTACCACTTTGGGCGACACCTAGTTTTCGGCCTTTATGGATATGCCAGTCTTTTTTTTATAATAAACAGTAACATTTCGATAACTAGAGGACTTCAGGGGTTGTGAGCATAACGCAATTATAGTAGCGACTTCGTTCTATCGTCCTATGGGTACAAACGGTACGTGTACTACCGCTTACTATGTACTACTGTGGTCCATCATGCCACCATGCCGCTATCAGCATTTGGAGGCATTTTGCGGCTTATGTTGAGTCTATTTCGCAATTATGGAGGTAGTAGCGCAGTGGCTAGTGATGCCGTCGCTCAGGAAGCAAAGGCGTTGGTTTGACCGCTCCCAACGCTTTCTTCCAATCAACGTGGAAACGCCTTAGCCCAGTTATCTCCAAGATTTTGGAGAATTGACTCAACCAGCATTCTTCGGTATTCGTAAGGAAGACCAAATCCGGCAAGAAACGATGCAACACGCGAAATGTTCGAAGGCAACTGTGGGTGCAGCGGGCGAGGAAAGCAATCTACTGTAAGAAGTGCTCCGCACAATGTATTTGACAAGAGGTCATGTAAAAAAGTATATTCCGCTATTTATTATACTCATATATTCTATGTAATAACCATGATCCGTTATAGTGATTAAGATGAAATAGCACAACTGTTCACAACATGTTCTATTAATCCTCAACAATACGAATATCTCCGAATGCTTCATTTTGATGTATCCAGGTCGGAACATCAACACGATGAACAACTTAGCGCCAGAGTTGGACAGTAGGGTGCCAGGGGGTTGAGGACCTTTGAAGAACATGGGAGATGTAGTGAGAACAACGAACACCTGACTCCGTGCCCACCTTTTCGACTCCACGATTATCCCTGCCCTAATGTATGCGCGTGAGAAAATTGGTCGCTACGGAAACGATGAAAAATCACTCAACGATTGAGAAACCGCAGTCCAAAAGACAATGCTAGGAGTACCCCGCATCGCATAAGTGAGGGAAGGGATTCGTACCTACTACCTATGTCAACGTTCAAAAACCAAAGATGCCGCTCTATTCGTCAAACTATTGAAGGTAATGCGGGCCGGACGTGTAATGAACGACAACCGATGGACTAGAGCCGTAAAAGACTGACTTGCTCAGGATGTCACACATATTGCAGGAATGCCCCCGACTCGATGATCAGAGTTCTTCACGAAGACTCTAGAAGAAAGATATAACGCTCAATGAGTCTCTAGAGCGAGCAGAACCCAATGAGCTATTACTGCGCGCAGGACGGAAAAACGGAAAGTTTTCTGGTGCTTAACTCAAGTCACTTAACGACCAACGGGACAACTGGTCGGAGGTAACAGGTGGTATGAATATCCAGCGCGCAGATGGTACAGTAATGCCATCCAATACGCGATAGGCTCTTGTCCAACTCCACACTGTGCCAGACAAGCGGCATTCCTCCGCTGTCGGAAAAATAGTACTAGATTTGAAAACTTCTTGCTCATCTACGAAACGTAGACGAGCCCATGCACGACTATCTAAAGATCGGCATTTGGATAGCAGGAATCGGCTCCACCAGCCTTCAATGACATTCGTAACTAAGACAAAAATCCACAAACCGCATGTGAACCCAAACGTTGGTCCGAAGGCCTAATGGATGCGAGGGAACGATCTTAATTAAAATACAATGCACACAATATATATGTGAGCATGGAAGTCATGTAAGAAATTACAACTGTCCTTACATGCCATTAAAGTCGACAGTCCTCGGCATCCTGGGTTAGTAAAGCTATTTATAGTTTTTCATCAAAGGACGTTGTCAACTCTTGTGGATTGGAGAAATCCCAGACAAGTGTGGAATTAATAAATGAGGGGACATGACTCGCCAAAGCGAGGTTGAACCAATGTACCTTGCGCACTGAACGGAACTATTACCAGTGCGCTGGCCCGCACTCACTGCAGAATACCAATACTGAGTAACTATAATTAAGTAGCACCTCAATTAATTCAACAGTTTTTGATTTTGTAAAGCACAGCTTTACCGTGACTAGATAACTATGGAACTGGAGAAACACAGGACACCTCTTGAACTTTTTCAGGGTTTGCGTGGGTGTGTTCGACATGTTGGTTTTCTGACCCAAATTCGCAATTCTTCGCAACATTTGATGCACACTGAATTCAACGCATATGTTTGTAATTGTACGGGGAAGGTATCCAAGTGCCATCATGTTCAACGTTCTCCGCAGCACTCAACCCGTAACCAAGGAAATGTCGAGCGTCATTGGATGGAACAAACCTTCCGAACTAACCGCCTTTTGCAAAAATTCAACAAGTACGATGTTCTTGTCAAGCCAACTGTTCTCATTAGGAATGGTCCCGATATAGCACAAATGTTGCAAAATCTTGTGCAACGAAGTAAAAAGCCGTAAAAGATGTCACCGAGATTAAAACGCTTTGCTGTGAAAACTTTAAGAGCCAGCACAATATTAACAGCAATGACGCTTTCAAGAATAATCTCCATCCTTGTGTAACTCGCTCACATGTGACAAAACGACTGCTGAGCTCCAGTGATAGTGTTCAAGAAGATGCCGACCTTATCATTTTAACTGATAGTTAAATACAACTAAGATAATGCTAAGATATTGGTAAAATTCCGGACCGCCCGTAGGTGTCTGCGATGGGGAACGAACGCGATATTGTCCTTTCCGGGGAGTAACGCGTTCACCACCACACCATGCGCGTCCTTTGTTTTGCCTGTCTCTCAGCAAGTTCTATCGATCGGAGCCACCAGTAATCACCCGTCAACGGGACTGATCTAGAGAGCCCAAATCGGCAAGAACCTAGTTAAGCTGAGCCTGAAGTCGAATCGCAGACATCTGCGGCTCGGAGTTTTGCCAATATCTAAGCACTATCATAGTTGTACTTCACAGGATACTCTGCCGTTAAAAATTATAGTAGGCAGTAAATAAAAAGGTTAACTGATAGTGTTTACTATGAACTGAGAATACGTGCTGGTCAAAGAATAGGCTGTTTCCAGCATATGACATCTTATTGTTACGATTAACTTCAGAAAGTTAAAGAAAATCCACAAATTAGTGACGTTGGGTGGTCCAACGCCAATACGGAAACATATTATCAAAACAAAACAATTTATATGGAAACAACAACAAGGTCACTCGTCATCTCCCGATCCTTCACCTCCCTCGGCTTTTTTCATGTTGCGCCTCCTCACTCTTCCTGGACGGCCGCCACCGAATGGTGATTTCAAAGAAAAGTCGATATGTTTCTGGGAGTCTAGACGAACGATAAATGAAGGTACATCGACAACTTGACGGCGTACACTGTAATAAATAGAAAATTGTCCCACTTGTCACAACTAAAATAAACATATAAATAAAAAAAGGGAGACATATGTTAACACTTCTTAAAATAGTGGGTTTTGTATACTTTCCAATAGCGAAGTTCTCATCAAAACATACTCAAAAGGATAATCTGCTAAAATGTGGACCAATTTTCTCTAGACTTTATCGCTTCCAATAGTTGTCTCCCTTCAATTTGTTTCCCTTACATCTCTACAATAAATACGACAACAAACAGGTAAAAAGAGACATACCATATATTACAACATTTCTGAAGGACAAAGAAATACGAAAAAATGGTTCAAAAGACTAAAACATACCGAATGTGGCTATGTCGGATGAGCACACGAGCATGGTGGATGGATTTTGCCAATCCGAGCTTGAAAACTTGAGTCTGTAAGCGTCTCTCAAGAAAATCCTCCACACGAAGACCGAGGATATAATCGAGTTTCATACGATCCTCAGGAAGAACACCAATGCGAACAAGACGACGAAGTAGAGCGTTTCCTTCGAACAATCGCTTAGGATCCTTCTCTTCTAGCGTGAGCAGCTCTCTAGCAGCTTTTCGGACCTTGGCTAAAGTGTACTTCACTCGCCAAACCTCACGCTTGTTCTTCAGACCGAACTCGCCAATGAGTTTCAGTTCCTAAATTAAAGTAACTCGTTCTTAAAAGTGAATCGACATTAAAAAGATGAAATAAAAGGTACTGAGGCACCGTACCACGCAATGTCCAGTACTGTTCTTTTATTTGCACACTAATATAAACCTCCATATTACCATTTCAAATGATTCTATAAAAAAGTTTTTTTCGTTTGATTTCGGAAAATCTATATAGATGAAAACTTAAGTTTGAATAACAATACGTGATATTAATATATTCCTCCTAAAGGCTGCTGTAGACGAATGCTAGCGGTCATTGTCTTTACAGCTAGTCCCTGACAGCATCATACCGCAATAATTAAACCCAACAATTCACCACCTCATCGTGGCTAGGAGGTATTCCTGGGTGTCGTGCTGTGATGTACACCGGGGAAATTCATCCTCCCCGAAGGGTCTCTCAAGCTGAGGAGTCCAACGTCTGTGTTACCAAGCCCAGCTAAAAGTGAACCAATACCCGGATTCACCACAGTTTTGATATCAAACTAGTTGTATGGTGGGAAACCTCCCTTTGATCCATAAGGGCGGTGACTGCCTGTGGTGGTGGCGACCTGTGGCACACTTTGGCTAGGCTGACCTAGAGACTCAAGAGAACCACAACAGCTAAACTAGTAAACTCCGAAAAATGAAAATTTTGCTGAGGCCCGCACAACCAGTGAAGATGGGCCATCCAAATATCCACGTAAGTAAGATATTAAGAAGTCAGTATCACCAATGAAACGTGAAACAAAAGACCATCTAAATATAGAAAAACAGCGGTGACGACCCGCATTTATAACGCATGCACAATAGCAATGTACACTTTGAGAGAATTCTTGAATGGAACATGCAATAATAGTAGGGTTGGAGGAACTAGTGTCCTGTAAATACGAGTTTGGTCACGAACACAACTAACGATTCAAAAGAGGGGATCGGATTCTGACGCTATATCTCGTCGATGAGGAACCGTACAGGGAGCATTTCCAAGGATGACTACCTGGACCTCTAGGGAATTAATTCCCAGTACTCTAAAACATCGGAAACTCTCCACATACACCAACACACAAAGAGAAATATCGTTACATAAAGCACAGTCCATTCGTTACTCGTCATGTACAAGCTGGAGTGATCCGCTCAAGTTAACAGAACTTTGAGGAAAAGTTACCAATGTACGGTTTAAAAAAAGGGGTTCAATACGACAGACAACATTAACACGATATGGGAACAATGTAAACTAGTATTTGCTGATGAACGCTAACATCGTATTAGGAGTCCCAGTACGATCAGACATATCAGTCACACAATCGCAACTATTAACAAATACTATTGTTCGGCTAACAGAGAACTAGAGATCTTATAAACTGATCTTCTGAAGCTGACGCGAGGTTGGAACAGATCTTCGTTGTCGTTGTCGTTGTTTTTGATGTCATTGATCGATTGCTGACGTTTCGGCGACTTCGCCTTCCAGAGTCAGTCAGAGTCCCGCACGTAACATCAAGGCTCTGAGGAAGGCGAAGTCGCCGAAACGTCAGCCATCGATCAATAACATCAAAAACAACGACAACGACAACGAAGATCTGTACCAACCTCGCGTCAGCTTAAGAAGATCAGTTTATAAGACCACATAAATAAATATATCAACTATCTATGCCGAGGTTTATAGAAAGTCGGTTTTTCGAGTTATTAAGAGAACTAGAGAGTTTATGAATGTTCAGGCACACTCGATATGCGGAATACCAAAACTAAACTATGCATCCTTATGTAGGCACTTTCACCTCAAAAAGGATATCTAATACAACGCTAGGCCAAGACCGTTTTTTAGTATGGGTGATTGCTGATAGCGCCTATAAAACGGATGAGTGAAAAGCGAAACGAAGGACATGCATCGGTATGGTAGTGAACACGTAAGCCTCCAAAAAGGGTAATAACGAGGTTTAATTCACGCCGTAGACATCTGTAGTCAAGAGCTTTGCAAATTTTTTACATGACCCCGTTTACATGACCTCACATCCAGTGTGCGGATCAGGGCACTTCTCCCATTCGATTCGTTTCCTCGGATCCAACATCAACCATAACCTTTGAACATTTCGTGTATTGTTTCAGCTGCTGCTTAAGGATTTTGTCTTCATTGTGAATGCCGTAGAATGCTGGTCCAGTCGATTCTCCTTGTAATTTTAGAGATAGCCGTATTAAAGCGTTCCAATGTGGAACGGTGGAGTGAGTTGGGGTGCAGAGCGAACTAGAGCTTTTGCTTTCTGATCGACTGCATCACTAACCACCGGGCCATTCTCGCCTTCAAGAAAATTTTAGGAGTGCTTTAAGCAATATTATGTCATCTTTCAGCTAAGCGTTATGAATAGAGTAAAATACTCTCGTAAAACATAAAACTACATAGCACTCAAAGTTGAAATCGAGTCACAGTTACGTTTACTTTGATTTTAAATTCTCTGCGTCTCCTAACAATACTTACTTGAATACATAGATGGGCCGTCACCACTGGTTGTGTAGACTCCAGCATAATCTCCATATTTTCGGGGTTTTGCTGGTTTAGCCATTTTGGTTCCCTGGAGTCCTGAGGTATGCCATGCCAAAGTCTGCCCCAGGTCGTCACCATCACAGGCAGTAGCCGCCCATGTGGACCAAAGGGATATGTCATCATGCGACTAGTTTGATACGAAGAAGGGTAGTTGATCCTGGTATTAGTTTACTCTTAGTTGAGTTTCCTGATGAAAACGCCGGACTCCTTCTCAACTTGGGAGACCCTGCCAAGGTGATGAATCTCCCACTGTACATCGCAGCCCGACACCCATGAACACCTAGCCACGATGAGGGCAGGGATAGACCGTTGAGGAGGTCTCCGAACAATACAAGGAACATTTCAACACTGACAATCTACAGTAAACTATATGATTAGACTACTTCAGTAATATAGCTCTAGTTGAGATATCTGCAAAAATCCCTTTCTGGGCTAACGCGTTCACCACTACACCATGCGGGTCCTTCTTTCCGAAACAATAAGACTTTAACATGCATTAGGCACAACAAGCAAAAACAAACGTCAGTCAACAGCATTGAAATGAAAAGTGTTTTATGGTGCCTACTTTCATACTACCTGATTTAAGCGCTCCTTCTCAAATGGACGACGAGGCGACTTTGTAACCTTCGATTGCACGGTCTTAATGCGAGGCATGCTTGACCCTTAACACAATACGCTGTTAAGAGTTACCAGTGATCAGAACGGAAGTCATACACGCTAGATCGAACTGCACAGTCAACTACTACGTATACACCGAGTTAAATCACGAAAACGAAAACCGCAAAACGTCCAGCTGGGGAGCTTGGTTACATATCTGTAAGAAACCCAATCGATAAAACTGGGAACTGCAACTGAGGAGAAACCCGACTCAAAGTAGGTCAGTGAGAATAAACGGAGGCAACGACAGAGCCTTCGAGTACGGTGCACCGGAAAGTCGTGTCGGGGCCAACGCGATGTTTGCGTCGACGACCCTTTAGATATTCGCTCAGTGCTGGTTGGAACACGAACTTTACTGTGTACTTTTTTGTTGTCGTTGTTGTTGTTGTTGTTGGTCGATGGCTGACGTTTCGGCGGTTTTGTCTCCCTTAGAGTCGTGCTGTTCTGAGTGAGACTATGGACTTTCTGTTTTACTGCTCTGTTCGTAGATCCTACTGATACAGTTGGCCATAGCTACGTTGTCTTTATATTTTCAGTGTTGCTTCCTTCTTCATGCTTTGTGTAGTAAACGTGATTGGGGAAATTTCACCTTCCAGTCTTCAACTAACAAAAAACTTTGTTTTCACGTTCTTTTCGCTTTCAAAATTTCAGATGGACCTTCCGGATCCGTATCTGCCTGGTGCTATCAGCTTATTTGAACAACTGGATAAGAAATTAGTGGTGGTGCTTCGTGATGGACGGAAGTTAATTGGTTACTTGAAATCGATCGATCAGTTTGCAAATTTGATATTGGAAGACGTCGTAGAGCGTACTTTTGTTGACAAATACTACTGTGATATCAATCAAGGATTTCTTCTGATACGTGGCGAGAATGTGGAAATCGCTGGAGAGATAGACGAAAGCATTCCGATGATACATACGCAGGTCTGAGTTTACTCGTTTACACTTGCAGGATCTCTTTACTTTCATGATTCCGTGTTTTTTTCGAATTACTACTGAGATGGTCTTCCCATGGAATTGATGTTACTAATATGATATTGACGTACTCTGTGATATCGGAATCGCATGTGGCGCCGTGTTCGGAGGTGCCCTCCAATATGCATGGGATCGATTCTCGCTCCCCAGGTCCAGCAAGCCCTCCTTCCCTCTTAATTGGTACCATACTCGTCTGGGAGGATAGCAGCACTGGTTAAATAGATCAGTGGGCCACATCGAGTCATTGTGAAGGCCAGAAATGCATTCTTTAATCACCTCCAACGATGCCTAATGAAGTCTAATGAATGGCGCATCCTTCATGGATTGTTCACCCCCGAAAGCTTTATCCTTTATCCTTTTATGTGATATTGAGATGTTTATTCTATGCGAAGTTACGGGGTCATAGTCGCGTCGCAATACGACGTTATTCCGTTTTTGATGTATATCAACAAAGCTCATTGAAATATTTTGTTTAACAATCTGAACAGATAGATAGAGCTCTCGGATTTGGACGATCCCTGAAAGATGCGCTGTGCATTCGACTTTATTAAACATCGTTGGAGGTGACTGAATGCATATCTGGCCGTTACAATGACTCGTAGTGGCCAACCGATGTATCCATCCAGTGCTGATATCATCGCAGACAAGTCTGATACCAATTACCAACCTTGGAGGGATAGAAGGCTCGGTGAACCTGGAGTGCGGGGATCGAACCTATGTATATTGCAGGGCGCTTCCGACCACTGCGCTACACGCGCCCCAATAGCATGAGTAAGTAGGTGAAGTAATCATGCTTGATTCTTGATGAAACGCTTAAATCTCGTTATCCGGTCAGTTCTAAAGAGATTAATGCACTAGTTCACCATGATTTTTTCTCTTGCATGAAGCAATCTTACTCCAGTTCATTATAACTAAGCTCCAAAAAAATCTTGATTGACCGAGGTCTCTGAGTCCATGAAGTAACATGTACAGGTGTGCAAGTCATTTACGGCAGATGTTTTCATTAGCGCCTCTTCAAGTAGTGATTCCGTATTCTACTACTTTTCCTTAAGGCAGTGTTTTCGTGATGATTTAATGTCTTTCTTCGCAGCACAGTGCTACGGTGTTAGTACCTGACTGGTAGAGATTTATGAAACGTTGTTCAATTCTACGTTTACGTTACTACTGCGATATACTACGCTCTATGCCATTGAAGAATAAACTTTCTTATGGTATAATAGCGGTTCCAACCAACACAGTTATCCATAGAGCTAAGATAATTATTTGTTACAAAAGCATTTGCGTACCTTTTGATATTTAATTTGAAAATATGTTGCACCAGAATCTTTTTTTAAAAATGCTTGGGCTTATTTCTGTATCTAACGGAATTTTTTACATGTATTATGTTAAATTCCTGCCTCAAAACTGTTTGTAGTACAATTAATATTTGTGGCTAATTAATGGAACACGGCTGAGAGAAAGGCAAAACGAAGAACCCGCATGGTGTGGGGGCGAACGCGTTACCCCCCTAGGAGGGTAATAGCGAGTTCGTTCTCCACCGCAGACACCTGCAGTCCGAAGTTTTGCAGTTATCTCAGCACCTTTGCGAGCATATTTCATATCATACTCTTCAATGAAAAGAATAGGAAGTAAGTAGAAAAGTGACTGCCTTGTAATCAGTGTTAAGCGCATGGTGGAAAGCAGTGAAGCAACTTTAGCGGAGTGATACATTATCAGTACTGAGGCTTTCCTTTTGTTATGAAGTAGTAATTATTTATAGTGATTGATTTTTGTGTAATAAGTAGTAATATCTCCTACGTAGTGTTGGTTAGGTTTCTAAATGTTTGGAAACTATTTCTTTTGTGGTTTTGGTATTAGCACCGATTGATTCAGAGCATTTGTAAAAAAGTGGCTTCGAGTACTATATAGTGCAGCATTATTCCCTGTTATGAAACCTCTGTGCTCTTCCTAAACGAGCTGTGTCACCTGTTGTTTGTATAGTTGATCGTCGACCGACTGGTGCGGGTGCCAGTGAATATTTCGCTTCTTCTAGAGTACAAGAATAGCCCAGTGGCTTCTGTTCACTCGAAGGACACGTGCAGCCTCACACCTTTCTTCTAGGATTTTTGTAAAGTGCTCTGGCCATCGTGTTGGTGACCTTCCTGCAATGCGTTTGTTGTTTGTTCTTGAAAGCTCCTAAGCTACTCTTTTACCTCTGCTCAGCTCTGGAGCTAAGTCGTTCATCATGTTGGTTTTCCGACCGAGAAAGACGGAACTGGAGCATTTGGAGATATTCATTTCGTTGAGCGTGAATGAGGCATACGTAATCATTCCATTTCTCGCGAACATCGTTTTTGTGAAACTTATAAGAAGACTCTTTCAAAGGTTTACCGCCTCATCGTGGTTAGGAGGTGTTCCTGGGTGTCAGGCTGCGATGTACAGCGGGAGGATTCATCTCCTAGCAGGGTCTCCCAAGCCGTGGAGTCTGGTATTTCCATCAGGAAGCCTAGATAAGAATAAACCAATATCAGGATCCACCACCGTCCTGGTATCAAAGTCGCATAATGGCAAATTTCGCTCTGGTCCACAAGCGTTGCGACTGCCTGTGGTGATGAAGACCTAAGGCAGACTTTGGCCAGGCTGACCTCGGGGTTCCAAAGAACCAAAATGGCTTAGCCAGCATATCTCCGAAAAGAGAGACTATGCTGGGGCACGCACAACCAGTGAGGACGGGTTATTCAAGTATCAACTATCAAGTATAAGAAGACCAATCTTTCTACATGCTTTATCAAAGCATTGGTTTCGATTGGTTAATGCTTGATGTTATCGGCAAAGTGAAGATGGTGTAACTGTCGACCATCGATTTTCGCTCCAATGTTATCCCATTTCAATGTTTCCACGGCGTTCTCCAAGGTGGCGGTAAATAACGTTGGCAAGATTGTTTCTTTAGTTGTTGATGTTCATATCGTTTTAGAATGGTGACGTGACATCTTGGTTGTGAATTTTTGTATAGCTCACGTAGAAACTTTGTGTAGTGGTCACGAATGCCATGACGGTTCAGGGCTTCCATGACTGCTTCTATCTCAGCTGATTCAAAAACCTTCCCTAAATCGAGGAAAGGGTAAGAGAGCGGTCTCTTGTACTGTCCTGATACTCAGATAAGTCTTGTTATCATGTTGGTGTGATCCGTCGTATAGAATGTTTTCCGAAAACCAGCTTGCTTACATGGTTGTTCTTCGTTAAATGTTCTGCTGTTCCTGTTTAAAATTACTTGAGTAAAGAGCTAGTAGGCGAGAGGCAGCAAGCATTGGGCGGTAGTTGCCGATCTCGTGGAGGTCACACTTCTTTAACAATAACACAGTCTTTCTGGTCTTCTGTTGAATGGGAGCATGCATTCTGATAGGTAACGTGTGAAGAGCCGGTGCAGTGTGTGTGTGATGATTGGGAGAAATTTTTTCAGGCGTTCAGTTTTTATTTTTTCGAACCAAGTGTTGTTCGATTCTTCGCAGACGGAATAACGTGTTGGATTTCGGAAGAGAGAGCGAGTGGAGCGGTCCACTATATATACATCCTACATCCTATACAATATACACATGCTTTATTTCGTGTGAGAGTATGAGGACGTGGCTATTGAAGAGATGCGAGTAGTAGACGTGATTTTCTCCAACGCCTTTCTTCTATAAGCTGTAACTGTTCCGTCTGGACATTGGAGTGCAGTCGCCTTGGTTTTGTAATTGGTGAAGTTTAGGTGAGCTTTGCGAATGCTTTTCTCGGACTGTGCAGCTTTGGTAATAAATGTTGCTTTTCTGTCTTTATGGTTTATGATCTTCATTTGTCGCCTTTCCGCAGTATTTTGCAGTTTCGGATGTGAGCTGCCCTTTTGTGTGTGGCTCTTGCTATTCCGTGTTGTTGTAATAGCTGGAGTATTCTGGAAGCAGAGGTAGCTCGGTGACTTGTGAACTCTCACCTTTCATTGCGCCAACTTGAAGATGTTGAATAAATTGGTCATATTCGTCGTCGATGTTATCAAGAACCGCTTCTTCCTAACAGCGGATTAATGGATTGAATAAGTCCCAGCTAATGGCGGTTTCGAAACTTCGTTGTTTGAGTTTAGCGGCTTTTTCTCCGTTTCCATGAGAAATGGAATGAATTTTGCACAGAGGCATTGGTCTGATCCCATGTAGAATTTTGGCACAACAGCGACATCGTTGGGGAAAACCTTCGATCTACTGTGATGTGTTCTATTTCGTTATGGTAGTCTCCAATGGGATACTCACTTGTCCAACGCTGAGAGTATGTGTTCTGGAATCGTGCGTTACTATAATAGGTCTTTGTCGTCACGATAGGCTGAGGAAATCATTAACCTAGTCTTTACATTTTCATCCGTGGGTCACTATATTGCGTTCTTCTGGTCCTATTCTTACTGTCAAAATCTCCAATGATGGCCTTGAAGAATGTATGTTATTCTCTGTAGAACTTCTCCAAGTCCATATAGAACGCTTCGAGCTCTTTTTCGTCATAGGTTGATGTCTTTGTTTAAACGACGAGGATTGTCAAAACCGGTATTGATCCAAATCACTTCAATCGTAAACGTCCGATTCGGGTTGTTAGTTGTTCGAATGAATCGATGTTCATTCATAGCAGGAATTATTGGATATGTGGAACAAACTGCGTCTTAAAGTGCAGAATACTTCCCAACTACTGGTTTTAAAGAGCTCATTTGGTTATTAAGAAAAGTAGTAAGCATATGGCCCCAATGTATAGCTTAATATTGTATGTCCAGTTTAGTTGGTTTAAGTAAAAGGTAATGGTGCTGGTCAGCCTGGCTGTTTTCGTAAACAACGAGACTATACACTCGTCCCAGCTGGAGAAGACATGTATTTTATAACAGGTTTTAGAGGGAAATAAATATATTTCCTATCGTTTTCTTGTTCAGCAATCGCGAGGTGTTTAAACAGCATACATTTACTTCCACAGAAAAACTCAATACAATACAACACTAGCTGACGTTTCGGCCGTATCGCCTTCTTCAGAGCCGCTTTTTACGAGACTTCCAATAAAGCGGATTAGAACAGCTGATTATAGTCGCATATGGTACCATATGGTCCTCAGAGCCGATAATCCGAGTCGATGGTCCTCGCTTGGTCCTTATAATCATTATATCGACCATCAGCATCGTGTATAAAGGGCATCACTGAGTAAGGATGCCTCATTCGAGGAGATGGCTCACTGAAGAAGACCTGACTCGACACGAAGGCGAAGTTGCCACGTCGAGACGAATAGCAAGCGAGGACCATCGACTCGGATCATCGGCTCTGAGGAAGACGAAGACGTCGAAACGTTAGCCTAAAATAAACATCATTATCAACCTCGTGTAGGCTAGTCAAAGAAAGAATACATATTGATTAATGATGCCGAGGTTCAAGGAAAGTCGGTTTCGAAATATATTTCCTGTGTTTAACGCAGTTAAAATCGTTGTTCTCAGTGAAGAGAAATCTCTCCGTAACTATACTGCTAGGTCTAGTTGCAGTGGTAAATTTCAGTAATTCTAAACGTTTTTATTAATTCCAGGTCTCTATAGAAGAAATCCAGAGGATTGAAGAAAACCTTGCGGCGTCAAATTCAAAATCTGCAGCATTAAATTCTCATGGTACTACTAAAGATGAAGCAGATGATGGTTTCTAGGTCAGGGATAAGTTAAAAGTGGGCTCTGAATAGCCCTCTGGCCTTGGTTGTGTCCTTGACTGTATTAATATTTGAGCCTAGGAGTGACTATGGGTGCTAAACCGGTTGTACATACAAATGTCTAATGCTGTGTTCAATGATTCTTTTTTTTTTCTAGAAGAGTATTTCTCAACAGTATTCAACATTTCCCTTCGGTATTTGCTGTATCATTGACCTTATTGCTTTGTTATTTGTTGCTATATTCTTGGTTAAAGGTTTTGTTGTTTCGGGAGCACTTTATCGTTTCATCATTGTGACTGTTGCCACGAGTACTGCCAGTCGTCAACTCTTGTCCGTGCTACGGAGCACCTAAACGCACTTTTTAGCTCTACTGTATTGTTGTCACTGGTTCCTTCATCGTTTTCGCCATAGGGTCGGGTAAGTTGCAGTTCCGATTGTATCCAATGCGGTTGCTTATTCTATAAAAAGGTGGTTATAATCATAATCGGAACTTCTTAGTTTCCAAGTTGAAAAAAATGTATTTGATTAGTAGTTTGCACAAATACAAGTGGATCTATGACGTTAGTTTGCCAAGTATAGATGTATGGGGCATCTTCGTTCGAAGCTTCTTTATTTGTCGATAGCTCTTTGCTTGCTGGTGACAACGAGCGAGCTCCACTGGGTTTCTTTAGCATTTTTGTCTTCGCAGTTCGGAATTGTGATGTTAATCTATGGGTTTATTATAGTCTATAAGTGGTATCTACTCTTCTCGAGAAAGCACTGGCCTGCTGGGAATTCTCCAGAGATATCATTCTGTCACTGCTTTGATAGACATGTTTGTAATCATTTACGCAATATCTCTCTGCAAATAGCAAGAAGAAAAGGCTAAATTTTTTGCAACATAGTTCAGTTTACTGATGTTTTACTGTTGGCCATAAGTAGTTCCTAAACGTTCTTAGGTATCCGACGTTTACTTCAAATGGCTCCGACAAGGAGTAAATACAATGTTGTTTTCATATTGGGACCACCAGGCGCAGGAAAGGGCACTCAATGCCTGAAAATCCAAGAGGTGTGAATTCGCTCATCGAGATTTTTCTGACACTAGTAGCAGCGTTGCTTTCAGAATTTTGGCTTCGTGCATTTATCAGCTGGAGATTTGCTACGTGCCGAAAGACAACGCGGAGGTTCGCATTTGAGTGGACTAATCGATCAACACATCAAAAATGGGACCATTGTCCCTGTTGAGATCACTTGCCAACTACTTGAAAACGTATGCATCATGATAATGAAGTAGTATTTCTGGAAGAACCTATTTTCTCTTGCTATATACCGGGGTCTAGACCCTAGAAAAAAGTACTACGTCCGATATTGCTGGATTGATTGTTCACTTTTTTATCTTGATAGCTCGAATTACATTACAACGTTCCCACGGCGACTTCAAGGTGTTGGAGCGTTTATAAGGATTGGGAACTGTCAGCTTGACCTTCCACTGTTCTCTAGAAAATATTATGAGAAAAATAGAGAAAACAACTGATTAGTAAGACAAGCGCCATTACAGGCAATGGATGCCGCTGGTGATGCTAAAGGATTTCTCATTGATGGGTTTCCACGCAACCAAAACAACCTTGAAGGATGGGAACAACAAATGAAAGGAAAAGTGGGTTTTCACGGGAATCGAGTTTTCGTCCGGAATTCTTTATCTGTTGATATTTCGATGACTATTTCTTTCTTCTCCAGGTCGATGTGAAATTTGTTCTATTCCTTTCCTGTTCTGTGGATGTTTGTATACAAAGATGCTTACATCGAGGTACAGTCTAGTAATTCATGTATCTCTTCCAACTTACATTAGCATATAAACAATGCTGTCCTGATATGTCACATAGTTATGCTTTTAACCCAGGAGAAGGCCGTACGGATGACAACGAGGAGTCTTTGCGAAAGCGTATCGAGACGTACAATAATCAAACTCTTCCTATAATTAACTATTATGAGAAGCTGGGGCTAGTAAAGGAAGTACCTAGCGAAAAAAATCCTGAAGAGGTATAAACACTATATTAAACACTCTGTTGCGCACTGTTAATGACTACTTTGCGTTTAAGGTGTACACAAATGTAGCCGCTGTATTCCGAAGTGCAGGATTCTGATTTCTAACGTGCTGTTGTACGTGAGGTCAACGAATAGTCAGCAGTTTTTGGGTTATTGGGTAATAAATGTTTTAGGTTTGTGTCCATACGAATAAAAGCATATCGGAGAACTAAATACCAAGAAAATCACAATGTTTCATGCTAGGCAACTGTTCTGCATCAATTGCCCATTCTGGAATTGGTGTACTGTAGCTCCACTTCTCTGTTGAATACCGAAGGCAGTGAAGGTAGAGTTGGAAGTGATCACGTGGAACCTGGAATGAAAAACAGGTGACCATCAGGGATATCATTGAAACCTTGACTAATCACAAAATGTTATGGATACCTCCCTCTTCACCACATTACAGTTCAAACAAATTGGGTCGTAAAGCGGTCGATCCAGGCTGTGGAAGTCGTACGATTCCGGTTCTAACTATAAATGTTTAAAAAATCTTGGTTACGTTTTCGTGCACCTGCAAATCACAGACTTTCGAAAATTATCAATCGACTATCAATGTCACGAAAGAGGACGGAGAATGTCCTCCCACTCAACACAACTATGATTCGTCATGACGACTTCAAAGAACAACAGTCAAATACTGATCAAAATATAATATGCTAATTTGCTTAATGCTTAATGGCATTGGAAGATGAATTTAAGAACATTTTCTACCGCTCTTCATCGACAGTGGAAATGAAAAGAGGAACTGACGGAGAAATCTCTTAAGCTCCCTAAGAGTCTGGGGAAAGTGAAACAAAGATTGAAGAAAGTGAATCGGAAGTTTAAAAAGAAGCAATGCAGTCCCTCAACCACTGCTTATTCGATAGCAGGCAATTTGAGTGGATAAAATGGCTCAGCTTGGATGCATAAAATGTACTTTTTACAGATTAGTTGTGTGTAGGATCTTCCCCCATGGTAATAAAGAAGGTAATAAATAAGCTAGCAGATGTGGAAAGATAAGGAACAAGCTATTGAAAGGATAGATAGAATCAGAGGTGGTCCATCGCTTGATGGCTGGACACAGATGGTACGTGGATTGTTGCAGGAATTGCTAGTACCACGATTGTGGGATTTTTAGAGTTCCAGTCCGAATAGTGGAAGAGGTGCTATTGAGCCGGAAGCTATTCCAACAGCAAATCTCGTACAGCTATGGGCCTATCTCTGTTTGGCTTACAATGCAATGGTACGATGGAAGAGAGAAGTTCTAAAGACCGATATACTTATGGAACTTGTCAACAGGTCAATTCTCCCTCGAATCATGAGATAGCCGGGCTCGAGCGTTCCTCATTTTTTTCCTGAATAAGTCCGGTACCAACTTTCTAACTCCGGAAGGGTGAAAGGCTTTGCGACCCCTGAGCGAAATCGAATCAGCACCCTCGCGATGATCGACATTACTACCACTGTGCTACCCTCTCCTTGTTGATGATACTTATGCACAATGATACTAGTATACAGATATGTTGTTGAATTAAGGCCGTTCCCAAAGGAAGATTAGCTTGATTTCAATGTGCGGAAAGAATAGAAAAGGATTTCCCAACCTGGTTACTTACCAGAAATGAAATTTTGCCCGGTTTCTTTCCAAAGTGACCATTATCCTTTGAACATCCGACTTCAGTTGGATTTGATTTCGGTGTACAAAGTGCTCCTTCCAACGGTTCACCGCCTCCTTGTGGCTGGGGAGGCAGGGTCTCGCAAGTTGAGGAGTCCTGAGTATTCATGGGGAAATCCAGCTAATAACAAACCATTATCAGTATCCACTACCGTCCTGGTATAAAACTAGTCACATGGTGGCAAATCTTCCTCTGATCCACAAGGGTGGCGACTGCCTATGGTGGTGACGACCTGGGGCAGACTCTGGCCTGGTGGACTTTAGGACTCCAGGGAACCACAATGGCTAAGCCAAAAAAAACCCCGAAACGACAGATATTAAGCTGGAGCCCACACAGCCTTTGAAGACGGTTCGTCCAATATCCACGTAAGTAATCTTCAAAGAGGTGTATGGCAAAAATCCAAACAGTAAATACATATAACTTTTCTTTTCTATATTTGATAACATGGAAAGCGTCTATTATTTTTCTACCAGCTTAGATTTTTATGTGGCTTAACTGACTGGAACTTTGAGCGCTCTGCTTTAGAATAACAGAATGGATTGATGTACACCCACGCAACCTTTCCAGTGTTCCATGCATACAAGCTGCAGCTTACCTCTTCGTCTGCCATTTTTGCCATCCTTAACTCGTACTCCGGATCAATAGTTTCGTGCCAATTGGAACACTTATGAGCATTACGTACATCATCACATAACTAAATAATTTTGGAAAGGAAAATGATCGTATAGCTAGCATGGCATGACTCTAAGGTAAACCTCGCTATATGACTTGCAGTACTCCGCTCCTTTTCCTTTTTGAGGACCCCAAACGGTGGAATTGTATAGCTGATCTCCAACGATGGGATAACCTTTGAAGAAATTACTAATGAACCATGTATTTTACAAACAATAAATTACCCTAAAAAATGAGGAAAGAGCCATACTTAACTCACCTAGAAATTGAGCATGCACACGAATTTGATGGGTTCTACCCGTGTACAATTTCACAGAGAGCACAGAACGTTTGCCATCGGACCATAACTTCTTGAATAGACTTCGAGCTGGTTTTCCATCGGCTCTCACACATTGAATGCCCATACTAATAACCAAAACACCAATAGGTTCGTTACATTCGACCTCTTCGCTGGAAAAGAATTGGAGAAATTCTGTGATCATGTGAGAGAGATATTGATTAGCCCAGTTTCTCAGATAGACTCGATAACTGAGTAATCGTTTTGCCTCTCTCTCACCTAGTTCTATTGATCTTTTGCCATCAGCAATCGCCCGTCAACGGGATTGATCTGGAGAGCCCAAATCGGCATTGAACCCAGTTAAGCTGACGCTTAGTTATAATCACAATCTTAACCCTTTTATTTACTGCCTTTTTCTTTTTAATGCAGTCCGGAGTTTTGCAAATATCTCAGCATTATATACGAGTTATATTTCGCAACATACCCTGCCATTAAAAAGAAAAAGGCAATAAATAAAGGGGTTAAGATTGTGATTATAGCTAAGCCTCAGCTTAACTGGGTTCAATGCCGATTTGGGCTCCCTCAGATCAATCCCGTTGACGGGTGATTGCTGATGGCAAAAGATTGATAGAATAAGCTGAGAGACAGGCAAAACGAAGAACCCAGATGGTGTGGTGGTGAAGTGCGCTACTCCCCGGTAAAGACAGCGCGCGTTCGTTCCCCACCGCATACACCTGCAGTCCGGAGTTTTGCAAATATCTCAGCATTATATACGAGTTATATTTCGCAATAGTACACCTTTCTGTTCATGAATTTGTTTATGTGTTTCGATTAAACGTTGAGTGTCATGTGCAAAACCCTTGGGAACCCGTGTATATAAAAAATACCCTTTTAAATTTGATGGGCTATATTGTTTTCCATAGAATATTCATTCAATTTACGCTACGTTAGGGTCAATTTGATGTTGATTAGATAATGATCCAAAACATCGAAAATTCTCTTAAGCCATTCGTGATAGTACGAATAACGTCCCCAAACAGGAATGAAATTGTGCGAAAATAATATTCGATTTCAAATTCAAAAATAGACCACGTATCACAAGTGCGCTCGGACACATGCAGCCATTGGTTCGATTCCTATGCTAACCCACCTCTCATTCACATGGGATCGGCAAACTGGTAACACAGGTGTTCGTGAGAACAAAAGGTACGCGCTTTATACATTGGTAAGTTCAATCAAGGACAAAGAAGAACAAAGGTGGTTGGAAGTCACCTCCTACAAATAAACTCCATGCCTGCTCTGGTGGACATGGACAAACTACCTGTAGGTAAAATGTTCAGCAAGAACTGAAGAGATCGGCTACTTACTAGTGGAAGTCAACGATCAAACATGGGAAAACAAATGTGTCTCATTGCACTGAAACCTAAAGAGTATCGTCGCTCTTTCTGGGACTAGTACCAAAATCTGGAACGACTAAGACGACGATCTGCACTTAAAACACATGAACACCTGCATCTGAAGAGCTCTCTCTCATCGAGGGATCTCATGGTGGTTAGGTTATATGCGAGGCAACGTGGCGTGTGGCGGATGTTGGTTAATTGTGGACTAATAGCAACCTGCCTCCCTACGATGCACATAGATTCATATGATGGACTTCCTATTTCTGCTGCGTCAATTTGACACAATGTTTCTGCATTTACGAGTAAATATTTATGCATGCGTGCGTAGGTGTGTCTTCGTTTATGCGGAATATATTCTACGAGTCAACTAGGCCGAAAGCCTGCAATAAAGAAACACAGAAGTGAATGGGATGCCGTTAAGAATCGCCTCCGACAAATAAGCTTCCCATCTATTGTGGGAGAGAGTGGCAAGCTACCTGTGAGTATACCCAGACGCCACGTTCAGAGTTGAGCAAGCTAAGCGTGGGTGTCGGACGCTAAACACAGTGAAATAAGTGGGCCTCATTCCTCCACGGCAAAAGAGCCCTCTTTACGGCAGCGTTGACGACGACAAGGACGATGAGGTTGCTAAAAGCTCGGGGTCATTCTATGTTGCATAAATTTCGAAAGATTAATGTGATGAACTGTGCCTTGAATACACACTCGGGTGCATCTGAGACCTCGATAAAAGATAAAAAGGATGAAGCTCTCGGCGTTGATCAATCCCTCAGGAATGCGACATGCGTTCGACTTCATTAAGCATCGTTTGGAGGCAAGTGAATGCATAATTGGCCTTTACAATGACTCGCGGTGGCCTGCCGATGTGTCGAGCCAGTGGTACCATCCTCCCAGACGAGTCTGGCACCAATTTACCGATCCCGGAAGGAACGCTTGTAAGCCACGGGCGCGGGGATGGATCTATGTTGTCGCAGTGGCGTCTCCAGCCGTAGTGACTGGATATACTGCAGGAAGGCTACCGACCCTATGGTCAGAGTTGTTAACGAAAAAAATGATGCTCAACAAGTGCCTAGAACGAGCATGACCTACTGGGTTACTCTTGCACGCGAAAGGAAGAAATGGAATGTTTGGTGGTCGCGCCTTGAGTTACTCAACCACCAGCAAGATAGGTGATATAAATGTCACTGAACTGAGCCGGGACGAGGAATCACCACCTACTTGACGTCGTTTATGATACTTGAGAAAAACTTTTCCAAAAAATAGAAACATAACAAAGGGTTCCTGCTTCGGCTGAGATAAAAGCACTCACGACAGTTCTGGAAACCTAAGATGATTCTATCCAACACATAGAGGTCCCCCGTAAGCTATATAAACAGTTCACAACCAGAATATTGTCACTCTCCAAGAAGCGTATCATGTATAAATCGTCCAAACTACAAGAGAAATACGTCCGCAATGCAGTGATTAGATGGGATATCAAGTAATTTTCTAACTGCTTTAAACCAGAAATCAATTTCGCTTATGAAACTAACTCAGGTACAAACGGAATCCGGTTCATTTAGACAATTTAAGTGTTAATTCAATAAATTCAACAGGTCTTTACTTTTTTGAGTTGATAGTTTTACTTCTTTCGTTAAGATCGTAACTTTCACGAAGAAATATCCTTTATATCCGATGTGCTCACGGAATAAGAGTGACTTAGTTTGGTCATCGAATTCTTTTTTTGATTTTATAACAGTCATATACCCTCTCCCACCTATAAAACCCTCATTTAAATCTCATAAAAAAATAATGTAGGTTATATCGAAACAAATAATGTGGGTTATATCGCCAATGTCTACCTAAAATAAACGATGCCAACTTGTGCAGACACGTGTGTAGAGAACATCAGGAGAACAACACAAGTCAGACTTTTTGGGGATAATTTAACTAACACCACTGATCTATGTAAAAGTTCACTCAACATGCAATAGTGGAGTAATGTTACAAACAAACGCATGGTTCTCATTAAAAACAGAGGCAGCTTAATTACAGCTTTATTAAAACTGGAAGAACAGTCTTTACGTATGGATGTGTGATTCCTGCTTAGGTAGCTCCGTGCTACCATTGTTTGGACAAAACTGCATGCCAATGGAACCTTATGGAAGACGAAAATTGCCGAAAGGTAAGTCAAAGTCTGGTAATACTTTCATAAAAACATCGTGCTTGCTGATTAAAAGAAACTATGTACTAAAAAAACCATACTCTGGAAATACTCCTTCAACCATACAGAGATATTCTTTTATCCATGTTCCCTCTTTTAACGTCCTTTTGAACTAAAAGTAGACAGTTGATGTACAGAACATCTGAAAAAGAACAGACACATACCTCAACATCGGTTTCGTAATTTTTTGCGAACAACAGCACACCTGAAGTTGTTCTGTCTAAGCGATGCAGAACTGAAAGAATGTAATGCAAAAAGGTAAAGATAAAGGATAAATAATTAAAGGTTTGGGGTTCATCAATCCTGATGCATGCACCATGCACTCAACTTCATCGAATAACATAGATGTGACTGGATGCATATCTGGCCAATACAGTGACCTATGGTAGGCTACTAATATATCAAGTCAGTTATCTTCCCACACAAGAATAGCGCCACTTTGCCGATGCCGGAGCGATGTGGGTTTGGTTAGTCCGGGGTGCGAAACCGACCCAACGGCCCATTCCGTGTGCATCACAGGCCAGTTCTAACCATTGCACCACACGCGTCTCACCATAGAAAAGAATGTCAAAAATTTTGACTGGAACCTCTACCTCGAAGCCCAGATCGATTGTGGTTATATCGAAGTTGGCCCAACACTGTATGTATAGCGTACTGGCCACATGCATGCACAGGTAAAGATGGAGGCTTATTAACCACCAGTAAATCGTTCGTTTCGGCGATGATGTTGAGAGGAAGGTCGAGTACCTAAATGAACAAAAATTACTGAACTGAACGAAGCAAATTCAAACAGAGATTCTGTTATGAAATCTGAACAGAAACCGGGGAAGAACCACGAGATTCCTCGAGGGGCTATATCTATTCAATGCAACGCGTTGTTACAATAAATGATTAAGACGATCGCCTTTTCAGAAGCGGTGAAAAGGATTCGACAGGGAATAAACCAGAAGACACCACGAAGTTCATCAAAAATTTATAGTGCGACGGAAAACAAATCCTAAGGCAAAGGCATTTTCACAGATGATCTACAAAACAAACCTCACTCTCAACTGTACTCCACATTTTGTGGCATAAGACTACTTTAAATCGCCAATCAAATCCACTTGGAGGGCTCGTGAAATAGGGGCACTAACTTTTCATAGATGAGGCATTTTAAAAACGGGAAAGAAATGGCGAAAAGTTACAGGATAGAAGGAAAGCAATACAGAACCCTATGAAAGCTACCTATCAGGACCTCTCAAACAGACAAGAAACAAACTAATGGATCTCAACGCCCGACTAATCGACTTGTCACCTCCTTCAAACATGCTGCTACGTCCTTGAAACGTGAGCTAACATCGACCATGGATCCTTTGCATCACCCAAAGAACGTACATACGATGTTTTCACACATATAGCATCAAACCGTTTTTTTTCTATATCCATGTACCTGAACTTCTTAGTGTGGACCTTCCGAAATATACACGTTTTGATCTCATGCGAAGTACAGATAAGCCAGCCTTGTGGTGATAAGTACGAAAGAGAAAGAGAACAGTGGGTGAACACAAAAAAGGTTCAGGTATATGCTAACACAACCTACATAACCATTGTTATTGTTGACTACATACAAGTTTACCCGATTATATTCGAATATAAAGGATAAAAGAATAAAGCTCTCGGCGCTGATCAATCCCTCAGGAATGCGACATGCGTTCGACTTCATTAAGCATCGTTTGGAGGTAAGTGAATGCATAACTGGCCTTTACAATGACTCACTGTGGCCGACCGATGTATCGAGCCAGTCCTGCTATCCTCTCAGACAAGTCTGGCACCAATTTGCCGACATCGCGGGGATTGAGGGCTTGGTGAGCCTAAGGTCCTGGGATTGATCTCATATGTGCTGGAGTTCGTCTCCGATCACTGCGCTACACGCGCGTTTACTCGAGTATACTTACTTGGATATTTGGATCGACTATCTTTATTGGTTGTGCGGGCTCCAGCATAATTTCCTCCTCTTCAGAGTTTCGCTGGTTTAGCCATTTGGTTCCCTGGAGTCCCGAGATCATCGTAGCCCATGACTGCCCCGGGTCACCACCACCACAGCAGTCACCGCCTTTCGGTTGTGGTGGATCAGAGAGAAATTTGTTACCATCCAACTAGTTTGATAATAGGACGGTGGTGGATCCTGATATTGGTCTACTCTTAGCTGGGCTTCCTGATGGAAACGCCGGACTTCTTCTTAGCTTGGTAGACCCCGCCGATGGGATGAATCCTCCCGTGCACATCGCAGCCCGACACCCAGAAACACCTCGCAGCCACCATGTGGCGGTAAACCGTTGGAAGGCTTAGTCGGGTATACTCAAGAAAATCTGTTTTTTAAAATCAGATTGATGAAATGCATAATGTCATACCTTTTTATCTTCTGTCTACCATAATTTCGCGGCAGGGTACTAAGCGAAATACAACCACAACGTTGCTGAGATATTTGCAAAACTCTGGACCGCAGGTGTCTATAGTGGGGAACGAACGCGCTATTGTCCTTTCCGAGGAGTAACGCGTTCACCACCACACCATGCGGGTCTTCCGTTTCGCTTGTCTCTCAGCTAGTTCTATCGATCCATTATGTGCCGTGAAAGTTATAGTAGGCAGAAAATAAGGAGTAAAACATTGTGATATCGACTTCAGCCTTAGCTTAACTAGGTTCAATGCCGATGTGTGGGCTCCCCAGATCAATCCCATTAACGGGTGATTGCTGATGGCGCTGATCGACAGAACTAGCTGAGAGACAAGCGAAACGAAGGACTCGCATGGTGTGGTGGTGAACGCGTTACTCCCCGGTAAGAACAATAGTGCGCGTTCGTTCCTCACCTTAGACACCTACGGTCCAGAGTTTTGCAAATATCACAGCAACATTGTGGTTGATTTGGCATTGTTCAGTGGAAGCGAATAATACCATATTTTCTCCACTTACGATGAAGTCGACGGTTTTCCTGTTGTTGCGTCTGACATCTCGAGAAATTTAGTTACTGAAATCTCCTGTCTAGAAGTTGTTGTTTAAGACATTTGACATGTCTGGCTCATATGATTTTTCACATCTTGGCATATGTGGAAATGTCCTTAATCTGTCAAAGGTTGTCAGCATAGATCGGAACTCTAGGACACTTTTCGTATTTGGTGTGTAGCGGGTGTGTGTAGCGCTGTACGTAGACATGGTCTGAAATATACACGTGAAAGATGAATACATCGAATAAACTTTTTTTTTACCAAGCTCGTGTTGGCTTATGAATGAAAGAATACACGTTGTTTAGTTACGCAGAGGTTATGGGAAAGATGGTTTTTGAAATACACGTGTTTGTTGGCTTAATCAAACGCTCAGCTCTAATTGAGCCTCTCGTCGTTTCAGACTAAACTTCTAGGGGCATAAAAACACTGACTTTATACATCGATAGTAACCTGTAAGCCATTGTCTAAGCCCAAAATTCATTCAGTTATGGTGCCTAAGAGTGTCGAATGCAAGGTGCATCTTTAAGGAATTTATAGATAACGGACGTTTTCTTCTTTATTTACATGAAATGTTATACTCCGAGGGATTCGGCTTATTAAATTCTCCTCGTGAGGTAGGATGTCTAATCGCAGAAATCGCAATCATGCTGGGAGAATCCTAGCTGCGATGCAGTATATTTATGTCTGATCCTGTGATGACAACTTAAGGAGTCCCTAAAACTCCTACCTCGAGATTCTAGGGAAAATCATGCTCGACCAGCATTTAACGTTTTAGTGAGGAAATATGCCGGAGCCATAAGTTGAAGCCGAAACCACAAACGTGCTCGATCGCTTTCGCAGATGGTGGTTGCAAGACAACGAAACGAATGGAAGAAGTACCAGGGCTCGCTTCATATGTGAAAAGATGGCATGAAAAGTGTCTAGTTAGAGAAGTTATACTTCTGAAACTATCTTTCTATCTCTAAAAATCGACTTTTATTTAGCTTTGTCACAAATAATCAATAGCTCTTTGTGTTATTGAGCAGATACAAGGTTGGTATCAAATATTTGTTGGGCTTAGTTTCCGACGTATTCGACTTCTTCAGAGCCGGATTGATCCGAGCCGATAATCCACAGTTGGTCGTCCTCGCGCTGTGGCTCTTGGCTGTCGTACCGAGTGTAATCCTTCGAAGTGGAACACCGATCGAATGAAGAATCTCATTCGGCTGTGCTCCTGTATACAGGACGGATGTTGATCGATTTCCGCCATTCAGTATGATCTGCTGTTTGGCGGCCAATGCGTCATTTAGCAGTCGGGATGGTATACTAGCTGGCACACAGCGTAGGTTTCTAAGTCGGTTTTCAGAGAGAATGGAAACCTGTCGTAGAGCAAAAAGTGCCAGATTTTCAGTACAAGTACAGACCGCAGAAGGTGGCCTATCGATGCTTTTAATCCAGATCGTTTTTGGTAAAAGATGTCAGAAAAGTTTCCACATGGATAACTGTCTTGTGGAAACGAAGTATCCACAGCGACGTTGCTTTTTAACATCTAAGTCGGTTTTTACAGATGTATTACAGCGCCTGGTGCAGAGTTTGACCTGGCTAACCCCGGGACACGAGGAAACCACAATGGCTAAATCAGCAAAATTCCAGAAAAAAGAAATCGATTTGCGCTGGGACCCTCACAACCACTGAAGATGGGCCATCCAAATATCCAGGTATTGCAGCGCCATGTGCCAGCTAGTATACCACTCCAACTGCTACAGAACGCATTGTCCTCCAAAGAGCAGACCATATTGGATGGCGGGAATCGACCAAAATTCGTCCTTTATTAAAGGGCACCGTTGAATGAGACCTTTCATTTGATCTGTGCTCCACTTCACAAAAATCGAGTCGGTGCGAGATCGGCTGGAAGCTAGATGTTCTCCGTGTTCCATCGTTTCCTACTTTGTAGCATTCTATTTGAACCATTGTCTTCTATGTAGATTCTTTTAACCTCCCAGCTAATCTATACATACTGATGCAATTTTTGAAGCGATTTCCTTAGCTCTCAATGGAGGTGGCAATTTTCGTGACTAGCTGTATAGTCAGTCAATATTCGTAATTGTGAGTTGGAGGTCTTCAACAAAATAGAGATCGGATATCGATTGTTCATTTCTCACTCCATTGCCTCTTATTTGGGTATATCGTGCTTGAATATAATGTTGTAGTGAAATGGGATTCACCACTGAATTCCTTTCTCATGATGTTTTATTAGAATGTTATAGAGGATAAAAAGGATAAAGCTCTCACCGTTGATCAGTTCCTGAGGGATGCGCCTTGCATTAGACTTCATTAAGCATAGTTGGAGGTGATTGAATTCATATCTAGCTTCTACAATGACTCGCGGTGGCGGTGCCGTTGTATTAATCCAGTGTTGCTATTTTCCTAGACGAGTCTGGTATCAATTTATCCACCCCGGAGGTATGGAAGGCTTGCTAAGCGACGGGGACGGTGTTCGATTCACCGTTTCTATTGCAGGGCGCCTCCGACCACTGTGCCACACGCGCCCTTAGAATATTATGTTCTTCATATTAAATTTTCTTTACGCTTAGTTAGGATTTTTGTGCTTTTGTATGAATTCATTCTTCTTCAAAAGCCCTTAGATATTTTGACGTCTTTTCCATCGGCCTGATGAAATTCATTAATGTGATGAATGCTTGCTAAAGTAATTTCCTATCCTCACAAAAGATTTAGATGTGTTCTGTAGCGATGTGGATCAATTTTTTGAAGCGTCAGATTTGACTTTGTGCTGAAGCTGTTCAGATTTATTTAAATTGCTTTGCTTTCAACTAAGTAGGCGGTAACATTCTGTGAATGACGGTGCAACGTAAGTGTGATGACTCCATGGTTACCACTGTAAATGTTTTTCTTTATGTCCTTTCATCTCCAAGTTAATTTTCTCTAATCTATTGATTGAGAGTCTTTTATCAGAATAAATTTGTATAGACAAGTCAATGATTAAACTACCACTGTCTGTCTACTACTAATACTAGTACGTATGTGGTTAATCTAAGAGTTGAGCATTGTCTCATTTATTATCTCAGACGCAAATCCGATATTAGGGCCTTCAAAAAGGTGTTTTTAGGCTGCTAGATGTCGAAAGTTAAGGGTTTACAGATAACCGGTTGTATACAACAGCCAATCCGTTCTGGCTCAAGAACGGATTGGTTTCGCGTGCCCCATTCACCCTCAATGGAACGAATATCTCCGAATGCTCCAGTTATACCTATTTAGGTCGGGAAATCAACATGGTGAACGAATTAGCTCCACAGCTGAACCGAAGGAAACAAGCGGCTTGGAGAGCTTTCAAGAGCATTGAGGAAGAGAACAAAGAACACCCGACTCCATGCTCACCTTTTCGACTCAACGGTACTTCCTACCCTAACGTATGCGTCAGAAACCTGGTTGCTGCGTAAGCAGGATGGAATATTAATCAGCGTGATCGAACGCGCAGTTTAAAGGACGATGCTAGGAGTATCCCGTTCCATATAAG